TTCACTATGCATTTATCTTTTAATTATTCAAGTAAATATGTTGACATTAATTATTGCATCAAGATTTACAAAAGAAATTACATTAATTTAAAATTTCACTTGATATATTTTGTACACAAAATCAATTAGACATGCCTAATAATAAACAATTTTTTATTGAATTTTCTCTTACAAAGATCAAAAGACGGCATTTGATTTATATAAATTAATTTTACTAAAATATTTTTTAATTTCTATAAAAAAAATACACATAAGACTCGACTTATTAGTTATTCTTATAATTCTGATAAATTAAATTATATACAAAATAATTTACAAAATGAAAAAAATTTTGAGCGATTATTTTCTCATTTTTTTAAAAGTATTTTTCATTGCTTTCCACACTTATTTTTGAAGCATCCAAACAAAAAATCTCTCTCTGGCCAAAGCCAAAGCATCCTCTAATTTTTTTTTCTTTTTCACTTTTCCCGCATCTCATATTTATTCTAATCCAAGTTAAGTATGACAATAACTATAGTACATCATTATTTTTCTCTTGGTTTTCTTTTATTTACTCACAAAATTTCCCCTTAGTATTTTTTAAAAAAAAAAAAAGTTTTAACTACCTAAAAGTAATATAGTAACAATATCGTCCTTTTTCTTATACAACTATCATTCTATTTTTTTTAATATTATTTTTGTCTACTTATTCCCAGGTCGATATCTATATCTATACCATATATTAAAACAATCCCCTAAAGGTTGTTTTGGTAACATTTGGCATATTTTTATTAGTTGAATAAATTGATTAGTCTTCCATTAGCATATAGATTTTATTATTTTTGTTTACTATAAAAAAAATTAGAAAAATCTAGAATAAGACCAAAAAATTCCAAAAAAAAAAAAGACAAATAAAAAAATCTAGAAGAAGATAAAGAATTTGATAAAGAATAACGAGAGGGATGAGAGAGCTCTAATAAAAAGTGAGAAAAAAAAAAAGATGTTGGAGAAAAAGAAAAAAATGGCAGGTGAAGGGTGAAGGTTAGTTTCATTTGAGTAATGGCCGTTTGCTTTTTATTTTTTTTAGCTTTACAGTAACAGTAGTATATTAAAGCTTTTGCTTTTTGGATACTAATATTATTTTTATTTTTTATTTTAGAACTATTATAGTTTCCCACACTATGCGTGTAGTGATACTAATCTTTGTCTAAATGAAACTTGTGATGATTAGAAACCTCAATTATCAGATTAATAATGAAGTGTTAATTTTTAATTTCAATTATAGATTTAAATTCTACCAATCTTAATTATATATATCAAAAAACTTTTCAGCTACAGCTATCAAGCAAATATTCAATTCAATCCTACAATAACAAATCCTCAAAGTCCTTTAGTTTTTTCTTAATCTAGGTATTCTTTATTTCAATTTTTTTCAATTTTATGTGTTATGGCTATTTCTGGGTTGTCTTTCAGTTAAGTCCATTCGCTTGCCCATCTTACTATGATAAATTATGCTCTGTTTGGTTGGTGAGAAAATGGCAGGAAAATTTATAATCAAAGAAAATTCATTGTTAATTTGAATAACTTGCTTCTGTTTGATTGAATATTTGTTGTAGGATTTCCAAACCATATTCTTGTAGCTTATATTCAATCCAAAATATTTACAACATTCTGGATTGCTTGAATTTTAATTTTTAAGTCATTAGGGATTTCTTTTTATCTTTGATATTTTTTGTTAAGCTTTTGTGGAAATTACATAGTTATAAGTTGTAATTTATTCTTGTAGTATGATAAATTAATGATTTTTGGGGTAATCTTGGTTTTATTGGCTTTCTAACCACTCACATGATCATTTTGTTGACAGCACACTCCTCGTTTCAATAGGGAAATACCTTATATGAATGATGCAACCTTAGATCATGAATGACTGTTTGAAAGGTTGTGATCTTATCATACTCATTATATCAATTTCTTATTGATTGTCTTATTTTATGTTGTTCACTACTTCTTTAATTTAGGATTTTTTAAATAAAAACAAAGTTTAGTTTGGATTTCATTTTAGTTTTTAATTCTCTGGTTACTATATGCTATGATGTTTAATTTTTTTGTTTCTTTTAACAAAACCTATGTTCTTTCTTTCCATTTTTGGAACAAAGTCTCTTGAATTTAGTTTCTTTTTATTGGCATTTGGCATCATGTCTTCAAAAATCATTTTGAGTTTGTGATGTTAATAATTTGGTGCAAAATACGGCTTTTAAAACCACATTACCATCCTTATTGGGTTTGTATTTTTTAATTTTGGGGTTGGTTAGATCTTAAATATGACATAAAGTAAAGGCATACTTCATCACATGATAGTTGAAGATTTTGCATTTGACATATAGCCTTTCATACACTACAGTCTACATCTGTGCATATAAATTGGTTTGTATTTATTTGGTCATAATGGTTTTGATTTTTGTTCAGGTTGGCCACTTATGGTTTAGCTTAATTGCAAATTGAGGGTGATGAAAATTGGTAGATCTTTGTTTTTGTACTATAATTAGTCCCTTCTCTTCCATTACCTTTTATACCTCCATCTATCATGTATATTATACCTATTTATATTTTCATATACATATGCATAATTGCACATATATGCAACAATGAGATTCAATATGAAAGTCACTAATTCTTGGCACTGTTTCTATTTTTTGTCTACATTTGTTGTTTTTCTTGATAAATCTTCTATGATATATATTTTGAAAAGTTTCTAGCATTAACAGATCAATTGTTCCACAATCGAGACTACCATAAACATGTTAGGAGACAGATTGTCAAGCAGGTAAAGTTTATGCTGCTCCACAAATGCAAACATCTTCTCTTACCTTATTTTAGGATATAATCCTGTTAAAAAATATTAGCTATAGTGATAAGTACAGAAGAACCCTTTCCTTTAGCAAAATTTTTTCTCTTTACTAATATAAGGGATTTTCATATCTTTGTTTTAGACATCTTTTCCATGCTTTTGTTTTTTAGATTTATTATGTCTCTGTATATATGGGCAAACTTGAACACAGCAGAGATAAAATAATCTTACTTTGATATATGCATTCTGTAACAACGTTTAAGGAATAAAAGGTTTCTTTTACTAACTTGAATTATAGTACACATCGATACAACTTCAAAATCTAAAAGGTTTCCATGTACGTATGTATTTATGTACCTACACATGTGTGATGTCTATGTTCCTACCGGAGAACATGAGCATATCTTCTTTGTTGATAATAAATATAAGGGTTAATGACACATTTGGCATCCTAACTATAGTCTAATTTTTGATTTGGTACCTAAAGTTTCAAACTGTGTAAATAGGTACTTGAACTTTGCTTTTTTTATTAGTTTGCACATGAGATTTACACTATTAGTCAAATTGGTATATATTGTGTTCAAAAATAACCAATAAAAACATGCAATCTGTCTAAAAATGACACGTCATTTTTTGTTTATTAATTTCTTTATATTTTTGAATGAAAAAATTTTAAATATTGCAAGAAATGAAATATAAATTGAAACATTAAAAATTGAAAAAATATATATTTTTTTATATTTGTCTAAAAAAAATCTTTTTCGACATAAACTCGTGAAGCTGATCCACCTACCTCACTCTAAATGGAACTACTTAACTGCTGCCATTGTCTAGATCCCATAATTCCATCAAATTCACAAAGCTATAATTTTGGATTTTTTTTTTACAAAGAAAGTTATAATTTGAAAATAAAAAATTATAAACATTGAAATTTAAATTTTAAAATTATTAAATATTATTTTTTTAACATATTCGTAGGAATAAATTGAATTAAATTATGAGTTCAGTTTTCAATCTTTTTCATACCTTCATTCCTGTCTGTAAAAGAAGCAAATTCACGTGTATGTGTGTGTTGCATATTCGAAACATTTTGCATCATATTTAGTCTGAAATTAATTTGAGCAAGTTCAATGAGTATCACCATTTACATGTGCGAATTAAGGTCAGCAGTAGGAAAGAAATGGAAATTAAGGTGATGTGCCTCTTGCAATTGTTGACATAAGTTTCAGATACAAGTTTAGCCATATGAAATTGATCAAATGATCTAAAAGTTTTTACCTTTACTACCAAAAATTAAAATTTTCAGAACATCAATATTAATTCTAATTATAATAAACTAAAAATTTATTACATTAATTTCATACAATAACATATTGAATGCATGTTTTTATTTTTAAGTAATGTTCAAGAATTTAATTGAGAAATATTCATTTAAAAAATTGAATTCAAATATTTAAAAATAAAAGGTGAAACCTATAAAAAGAAATGAAGAGAAAAATATTTGCATTTGGATAAAGAGTTGAAGTGCGATGTGATTAATGACGACTGACGAGTGTAAAGTACACTCACCTCGTGCTTCAATTGGAATTTAAGTGTGGCTACCAAAAAGTGAAAGCAAAAATAAATGAAGCTATGGTGCCCGTTAGCCTAACTTGCTCACCATTCCATTGCACAGAGGAAAAAAAAAGGTTTATAATTCTAACATTTACCTTACTTTCCATATATGAAAGATGCACCACTTTTAACCGGTTTAAAAAAAGACCCACGCTTGCCATGCACCTTCGAATTAAAAAGGATATAAAGTTTGCCAATGCGTTAAGATTTTTTTTTAGTTAGATTTGATCATTAATATATTTGTATTTTATTTGTTTTATATAAATTAAATATAAAAATTATCTTATTATAAATTGTGTTCATATGTTCGACATGAAATTTTTGTTTTTGTTAAAATTATTACGATTTTTTATTAAAATTTTAAATTATTTTTTTATTGTTTTTGAGTGGTATTTAAAACTATAAGTCTAGACTGTTTCTGGACGTGCAAGAAGACTTTCTTTTTACATCTATATAAGATAATGTATACTTCTACCCATCCCAACTGTGTTGATGTACCTGCAAGGAAATAGATTAGTATTAATCTATGTACCCTTTTAAACATGTGTGGGAAAAAGGAATAGCCATGGAATTCGGCATGTGCTTTTGTTGACTCCATTGCTAGCTTTGAGCTTCATCCTCCCTTATAAAAAGGGCCTTTTCTTAGGAGCTTGAACGCATAAAAACAGCCGCCAAAGCCCAAAGAAATATGAGAGCCAAGTGCACTCCGAAGAAGCCACAAATCATACTGGTTCCATATCCAACACAAGGCCATGTAACTCCCATGCTTAAGCTAGGCTTAGCCTGCCTTAACCATGGGTTCCAACCCATCATTGTAACCCCAGAGTTCATTCACCATCGGATCGTAGCCAACATGGACCACAAAGATGAAGTTAGGTTCCTGTCAATACCAGATGGCTTAGACGAAGAGGGTCCTCATGATTTCTTCGCCATTGAGAAAGCTATGGAGAATATCATGCCAATACATTTGGAGAGTCTCATTCATAAAGTTGATGCAGAAGAAGAAGGAGATGGAGAAGTGGTTTGTATGGTTATTGATTTGTTAGCTTCATGGGCCATTCAAGTTGCCAACCGATGTCGGATCCCTGCCGCCGGTTTCTGGCCAGCTATGGAAGCCACTTATCGGTTGATCACCGTCATACCGGACATGATCCAGTCCGACCTGATTTCTGATACAGGTAAATTTGCCAACACACATGATCTTTTTTAGCACATACTATAAATATATATTTATTTTCCTTTTTTGATATTGCCATTCATTTTTAATTTTAGAAAATATTTTTGGTCAACTATATATCCAAAATTATATGATGCACAACTCACAAGGGATTAGTTTAGTTGATCATGGAAGAAGTTTTTTTCTTATCGGTATGAATTTAAATTTTGTGAGAAGTATTTTAAAAGTAAAATTTTGAAATATAAAAGAAAAATACATCCTTAAAATCACTCAATAAAAATTAGGTAAAAAAAATCTAAGATCTTCCTATCACAGTAAAAAAAAAATTATATGGTGTAAATTTTATTGTTTTGTTATGTAAATGTGTTTGTTGGCTTGCAAATATAATTGGTTTTATATATAAAAAAAAATTCTTGTTTGAGATAAGACAAAAAAATGAAAGCATAAAATCATTAATGGCTTTAATAGATGCTAAGAAAAAGAAGCAAGATTATATATATATATATATATATATATAGGCAATATAAGATAACATTTTTTATTTGGCCAAAAAAATATAATATATTTATTTTTTATAAAAACATGAGGATAAATCTTAAGTGAAGTTCCTCACATGAAATTCTTCATAATTCATAATAAAAATTTGTCATAAATAAAAGTATTTCATTTGACTATACCTTTGATTTTCTAACTTCAATTCTCAATGTTACTTTAAAAAATAATAATAAATAAAAAAAGAAACTCTCAATGTTGGATCACTAATCTTTTTACACATGCCATAATTTAATTTATAAGAAAGTTTAATAAACTTCAAGTAAGGGAATAAATGTGTATGATCTTCAACTAAATATTAAAAAAAAAAAAGAAATAAATGTCCACAGGTTGATCCAAATACAAAATTTAAAAGATAACATGCTTGTGATCATCCATTTCATTAAAATTTTTTTATCTATTTTATTTTATGAGTTAGTGGTACACGAGAAATAATTTTTTAAGTTGAAATTTTCTCTATGATTTTCTTTTTTGTCTATCATTTTTGAATATGTTTATCATCAGTTGGTGAAATCAATACATATAAATAATGATAAAAAATGTATTAAAAGGTAATTATTAGAGAATTAATCTATAATATTCCTCTAATGTTGTTGGGTAATTTCAACATTCAATATGTTGCCTTTCATGGTTACATTTATCTAACACTTTTTAAATTTATAATTTAAGGGCATTTTGGTTTTTGTAGGGTGTCCCCAACATCCTGGAGCCATTGTCTTCTCCCGATCGAGTCAGGCTTTACTATCAACCGAAGATCTTCCATGGTTAATTGGAACCCAAGCTTCAAGAAAAGCAAGATTCAAATTTTGGTACAGAACCCTGGAACGTTCAAGAACACTTCGATGGCTCCTGGTGAATCCCTTTCCCTAGGAGTAGATTGATGATGATGATGATATGGTCATATCTCTCCAGCTGACAATCCAATTGTTTTTCCAGTTGGACCTTTGACTAAAGCTCAATCAATGGTGAAGAATCCTAGCTTTTAGGAAGAAGATATTAGCTGCTTAGATTGGTTGGACAAGCAGAAGCCTAACTCAAGTCATCTACGTTTCATTTGGGAGTTGGGTTAGTCCCATTGGAGACTCCAAAATCCAAAGTCTGGCATTGACACTTGAATCATTAGGGCGACCATTTATTTGGGTGCTGGCCGATGCTTGGCGACAAGGTTTACCACATGGGTATTTGGAGACAGTTTCAGAGCAAGGCAAAAATTCGACCATGAAAGCCATACAATGCCAGAAACCACTCTGGTGCTATCCGATCGCCAGCGATCAATTTGTCAATTGTAAATAGATTGTTAAAGTTTGGAAAATTGGAGTTAAGATTAATGGATTTGGACAAAAAGATGTTGAGGAAGCTTTGAGAAAGGTGACAGATGATGGTGAAATGAAAGAAAGATTGATGAGGCTATATCATAGGACCATTGGAGATAAGACTAATTCTAGAGTTGTAGTTAATCTCAGGGCTTTTTTTTGGACTCAACCAAGTCCAACTCACAATTCAATACCCTAAAAGATGTTAAACATTTTAGTTTGTAATTTTTGTAAGAAGATACACCAACAATGCACAATTTTACCACCGAACTTTGCTCAAAACGTGCATTTAAATTGAATTTTTTTTTGTTTTAAGTTTAATTTAAAATTTTTATTCCCAAATACCTGAATATTTCAACAGTTGAGACCCTAAACCCCTTCTTTCTTGAATAAAAAAAAAAATTATTCACAAAATAAGATGCTTTTAAACTTATTTTATAACTTGCTAATGAAGTTTTGATTTAATAATAAAGAAAAGAGATTAAAATCATGAAATCTTACATTCAAATCTTATTTTAAATGAATTTATTTTAATTTTTTGTTAGATTTATCTAATTATATTTTAATTTGTTGATTGATTAGTTTGTTTGATTATTTACTTATGTAATACTTGATTATAATTATAATTTATAATTATAATCTCATAAAAATTTACAATTATAATTAATTGTAAAAAGCTTATTTGACATCCCATTTACACAATTGCATACATTTCTACCCTAAAAGAGAGGGACAAATAATCAATTTTGAAAGAGTTTATTGTCTAACCTCTTTCATCTATGAATCCATATGAGGTTCTTCCAATAACTAAGAAGTTTTAATTGATCATTTCTGAATTTAACCGGGATTCACAGCGGTGGGAGGAACAAAAAAAAAAGGGATTCATTTAAGTGTTTCACACCAACTCAATGGCATGTCATTTCTTAAAAAAATATATAAAATAACTACCTCATATGTCTTTTGAAAAAATAGTAAAAATTAAAATTCTTAAAGGAATGCTCCTACCATCCAATATGTTTAAGATATCTCAAAATTATATCATTTTTTTAATAATTGTAATATAAAAACAAGAGAAATAGGGAGAGAAGTGTGGAAATAAGATAATAATCACACTCCTTGGTAAAGAAAAAACAGCCCTACATTCAATCTTCATACACAAATACATAGAAGAGTGGAAATAAGATAATGGTCTCACACTGCTTAGCCAAAACAAGAGCCGCATGCCCAATCTTCAAACACAAATAAATACATAGAATACACGTATGTGTACATATAAGTGCATGTATACATGAATGTACGTTTAAATAGAATCAGTCCATTCTTATGTGTACATATAAGTGCATGTCTATATGTATGCATGTTTAAATAGAATCAGTCCATTAGCCGTGTAATATAAAAGTAACAAAACATAGAAATCAAGTTTAAGATTGTAATTTAAGAGCATATGGCATACCATCACTTGGAGAAAAGTTCTCAGATAGGCGTTTGTCTTTTGGACTTGCGCTCTTCCTTGAACTTGTTTTGCTCTTCCTTTAGAACCTTTAGTGAGCCTCCCTACTTCCAATTGTTTTTTTGCTTTCAGCCTTTTCCCGATGCTGTTTCACCATGAGCCTAAGCCATAAAATCTCAAAACCTGCAAGCTCCAAATCTACAATGCCCTTCTCCATAAACTCGATTTCCTCCCAGGTGACCTCTTCTTTTGTTGCAATTTTGCAGACTTCAGCTAATGTGTTCATGAGGCCATTTTTTGATGTTACTAAGTGAACTCGAAGGCCAGATGCAATGTTAGGGTGCTTGCTGAATATCTCTTGGATCATGGGGGCATTCTCCTTTAGTACCTTAAAGCCATTGACATTCACGGAATCACCATAAAACTCTTCCAAAAAAGTAACTGCCATGATTCCCAACAACCAGCAAGTCAACATAAAATAGAAGCCGTATGTTTGATGCAAAAAAAAAATTGTCTTGTAAAAAAAGAAAGTTCAAATCACCCATAATTATTTTCATTGTACTATTAAATACAATATCAATTTGACAGTTATATTCACTTGAAAACGTTAGAGAACATTTTCTATACCCTACTTTTTTTTTTCTTTTCCTAAGCCAAGTATAATTCGTTGAATTTAAAGTATCGGGTGCAAATAGAGAGAAAAAAAAGTCTCCCAATACCACAAAAAAATAAAAAACTCAAAATTGATACATCAAGACACATATATAGAAAGGAAAAGCAGGTGACACATAAAAGACAAAACTCAAACCCCCTTATCATCTGATGCAACAAGACAGCAAGACCTGAACGAATGCATAAAAAAGAAAGCTGAGGGAAAAGACCAAAAAACCCAAATTACTTAAAAGGGAAGCAAAGAAACTATCATCAGTAAGACCAATGAGCTAAAAGAAAACCGCAATTCACCACCATGCCATAAACATATCAGCTCTTGCAAACACCAGACTTTGTCAAAGAATATGCCTACACCACAACCTCAAAGAACAGTCTTCCCTAGGAAGAAGCTTATATTTTATCACCTCTCCTCATCTGTAAGGACTCTCAGTTTCTAAGAGCCTATAATCTATTGGATAACTTCTTTTCATTCATTAACTCCTCAGAAAAGGGATATCAGTTAATGCCAAGAATATCAAAACACTCCCACCTTCTCTTCACAAGAAACAATAATTTCATTAAAGCAATTAACAATATATGATCTGTTTCATTGCTTACGAAATATTTCAACTTGCTTAACATAACTTATAAGTAGTAGCTATCCTCAAAATTCACTTCAATAGATCCTTATTCCTCTTTAAATCCTTTATGGCATAGCAACCTGTCACCGGTCTTTACAAACTTCTATGACATAGGTCTTGCTAGCAAGCTAACCATTTTGCCAAAACCATGACCTTGTCTAATTTGCTTTTTTTACTCCATGTAAGAAGGCAAACATTCTTTTTTTAGCTTAAAAATCACCCCCAACACACCAATTGCTGCAAACTCATCCTCCAGATCCAAAATTTCACACCAGAAAACTCTTCTTGCTGATAAATCACAAAGAGATTGGAAATAACACAATCAAAACTAGATTGAACCCACAGTCTTGTACTACCATAATTAGGTTTTTAATCAAACTTTTCTTCACAAAAAAGAATTTTCTTCATCACCAGCAAACAACCCCCCTGAACACCTATTTGAAGGAGAAAAATCCAGTTAAAATCTCAAAAACTCCATAACCTTTTTTTTTTTTTTAATTTCAAATCTCAAATCTTTTTTTAGACTTTTCTTTATTATCTGATACAGGCATAATTACCATTGGAATATATGAAATTTATCCATAAATTGTACATTTTCTTTAAATGATTATGGTGAGTATATTGGATTAGTACTTATCAAACAGTTCCTTAAGAACAAAAGGATTTTTTTTTTTTTAAATTAACTCAAGTAAGATTTTCTTTATGCGTTTATATTTGAGGCACTTAGTATATAAACTCTATACACTATTAGTAAATCAGATGACATCATCTCATTAAGAAGTAAATATTTATACAAAATATTAATATATATTTTTTAAACTTTTTCATTAATGAGATGGTATCATCTGATTCATTTGATTAAGGAAATGACATTATTCGATTCACTGATGGTATATAAATTTATACATTGACAGTGCATCAAATATAAACCTTTTCTTTATATCATTTTTCCTTAATCATCTTATTTATGTGGTTCATGAGGTTACAATTACTTAGTAGTGGACTCCTTATCAACTAGATTTCTTAGCTCAAAACTAGAAATGAAAAGAGGTCTACTATTAGATTAATAAGTTATGGACTCCATATCAACTAGTTTTCTCAACTCAAAACTAGAAATGAAAAGAGGTCTACTATTAGATTAACAAGTTAAATACAAGATGTAGACGTAAAAGAGATTCTTATGTGAGAGGAGGAAGCATTGCAATAAAGTAAAATGGATGTGTCTAAAGATGGCTGAGAGGAAGACTAAAGTCGACTGTGAAATATTGAGTGCAACAACAGATAGTGGTAGGCGGTGAAGCAAAGCAGAGTAGAGAAGACAATAAGGCTGAGAAAGGGATTTGGGAATAGAGAATTGCAAAGAGAATTTAAAAGAGGGTTAAGTGAATTTACCAAAGTTTCCAAAAGTCTCCCGAATGAGTTGTGAGAACTTTTATATGGGTTCTAAGAATAAGAGTTACATATATTGAGTAATGAATAGAAATAATGGTAAAATTAACAATTACAAAAGGTACTAATGCTTTGTCTAATAAGGGTTTAACTTTTTGTGAGTGAATAGTGAACATAAGAATCCATTATTTGTTATGAAGAAAAAGGAAAAGCACTCATACTTTAAAGAAAGGTTAAGAGAATACCTCTTAACTATTTCTATATCTGATCTGCCAAGCCAAGCTATCTAGAACATCCTAATAGTGAAGTAACCCAACAACCTTGCCATAGTCTAGGTTATTTCCACTTTTTCTATTTGGTGAAGTAATATTTAATAAAGCGTTTTTTGTAGAATATTCTCAGTGAAACAACTTTTAGTGAAAAAACTTTCAGTAAAAGTGCTATTGATGTTCCTTGAAGAAGTTGTTCCATGAACAACTATTCTATGAAGATGGCGTTCCATGAAAGAGTTGTTTCGTTAATAGCTGTTTCGTGAACATTTGTTCCATAAACAATTTTTCAATGAATAGCTGTTCCGTGAAGGTATTGTTCCATAAAAGTTATTCCACGAACAACTTAACCTCAATTTTAACAACTTTAAAAATTTTAAAGAAATAAAATATTAGTAACCAAAATCAAATACTACATTTTGCCCCCTGTACGAGAATTCTTAGTATAAGAAGTTCTCATGCATTAATAAAATGAAAGAGTAAAAATAAAATATATGAAAATAAATAAATAAAATATAGTTATTTTCATAATTTATAGATGACTAATTTAAGTCTTTTTTACCAAAAGAATATAAGTTAAAATAGAATTTTTTTTTTGCATGATATGTAGTGTAAAAAATTGTATATATATATATATATATATATATATTTTATGACTTGCGCGTGAGTATATTTCATGCGCAAGTAGGCTTATTACCCCTTGCATGAGAATCTTAGTATAAAAAATTTTTATGCACTAATTCAAGTCACAAAATAGAAGAAGGCATGGTTATTTCAAGGAATGATTTTGTCCTAAAGAGAAGAAAAAGTCAGCTAATGCGTTTGACAAAGATTGGTAAGAATTGATGAAGGTTTCTTGTTTTGACCTAAGTAAAACAATTGACCAATGTTTTTCCTGACATTGAACCAATCTAAAAAAATGGGAATAAAATTAAACAAAGATTAACAATCATATGCATGTAACAGAAACATGCATTGACAGAAACAAAAAGACTAGGGGAAGACAAAATTATACTTATAATAGGAAAAGACAAGACTAACTATGAGGGTATTTTTTTTTCTCAGGCTTGCCTTGCCGTTTTCTTTTGTCTGCTGGCGCAAGTTTACTTTTCCAATTTTGTTTGTTTAGTACATGAAAAGACATAAGCAGTTTGAAACAAAGCCTCCTGGGCGTAGGGTGTTTCTTGCGAACAGGAATGCTATGTGCGTGGGACATTCTTTGTGCGCAAGATTGTGTGATTAACTTTTTTTTCTACAAAACAAGAATGATTGTGAATAAATAAAGACTAAAATATTAAAAAAAAACCCTTTAAATTATTCTATTTTTTAAAATAAAATCTTTATATTTTTATTATACCTAAACAAACCTTTATTAGGTGATTAGTATCCAAATAAATCCTTATTTCAAACAAAATATTGATTTATATTAAGGACTTATTTAAATACAAATTTAAAAGTTTATTTGAATACAAATTAAAATTTAAAAATTTATTTGAATGCAAATTAAAATTCAAAAACTTATTTTGGATGTAATAAAAATATAAAGTTTATCTAAGTGATAAAATTCATAGACTTTTTTGTTATGCAAGTAAATAAATAAACAATAAAGTGAAACTTGTGTTAAAAAGTTAATAGTTCAATAGCAATATAGTAGAACTTTGTACAGGATCTGAAAAGTATTAAAATTTTTTAAGAAGAAAAATCCAACAAAAATAAAAGAATTGTAAGAAGCAGTGTTACGCAAAAAAATAAAACAAAAGGATTTTTTTTTTGTCAAACCGAACAAGTAATTGGAATATTTCTTTAAAAAATCGAAGAACTGTCAAACGTAACAAATAATATGAGTATTTTCCTAAAAAATAGGAGAGCTGTCAAATGAAACAAGTAAAAATAGTGTTTCTCTAAAAAATAGAACTTTCATACAGAACAAGAAGTAACAGGAGTATTTCCCTAAAAAATAAGAGAATTATAAAAAATAACAAGTAATAAGAATATTTTTCTAAAAAATAGGAAAAGTGTCAAATGAAATAAATAATGGGGAGTGTTTCCGTTAAAAATAGGAGAATTGTTGATGCAATCAATGGGAGTATTTTTGGTAAAAAAAAAAAAAAGACAATTGTTAAACAAAATAAATAATGAGTGTTTCCTAAAAATTAAGAGATTTGTCACGAAATTGATAAAGAATATTTTTTTAATAGCATGCCTAAATGCAGGTGTTACACCAATCGCTTCAAAAGAGTTAGCAAAATGCTTTAATCTCACATTGGATAGAAAAATGAAGGTTCTTAGGCATATAAGCATTAGTCCTACACATTCGAATAAGTCGATTTTGTAGGGAGAGAATAATGGTCACGTGACAAATGGTATCAAAGCCCACCCTTAACTTATTCGACACCATGCCAAGCGCCTCAATGAGAGTAGGTAAGGTGGACCGATTTGCCACTCAACAAGGAGATGAGGTCAGGCACGATGGCAGAGTCTAACCACGCCAAAGCGCTCCAAAGGAGAGTAGACAGGGTAGTAGCCGTGACAAGAACATCATGAGATTGGGTGAAGGAAAATGTCATGTCAAGCACTCCAAAAGAGTAAACAAAGTGTTTCAATACCATATTAGATAGAAAAAGAAAGGTCGTTGAGCATGTAAGCATTGATGCTGGACATTCTAATAAATAGGTTTTGCGGGAAAATGGGTAATGGCCACATCACATAAGGGCCTCCCTCACGTTGGGGCCTGAGTGCAAGGGCCTCTTGTGTGTTGGTGCCTTGGCACCGAAGCCTTTTGCACGCACGACATTTTTTAAAAAAATATTAAAACATCAAAACGTTATATAAAAATTCTTAAAAACTAATTAGATTTTGGAGAGAAGTTAGAAAACCTATAATTGTATTGGGAATAAAGCACTTGAATACTGAACATGAACTGAACGCAAATATCTTGTCATTTAAACGAACCAAGCCCGAATGAACAAAGCAATTTTTTAACCAAACACGAACTAAGTCCGAATACCTCTAAAAATAAACGAACAAAACACAAACATATGTTCATTTGTTCATGTTCGATTCGTTTACAACCTTAATGCTATATAACTGAATAATCTATAATAGCCATTATTCCTAATTATTAAAGTGAAAAATATACTAATATTTAGTTATAAGAAAGAGTTTAAATATCATCCCTACTTATAAAATAATGTTAATACATACCCTTCGATAAATATGAAATATACCACATTATATTTTTTTTTCCTTTTGAAATAAGTTACAGCACACAATCACATATTCTATGTAAAAGTATATCTTTTCTAGAAGTTGGTACATAAGGATTTTGAAATACACAATAGTAACTAGCCTTTTCTATCTCATAAATCTTATGATGCCCATCACCAGATTCAAACCCAAGACCTTCAAGATAGAATCTCAAATATTGTCCCCTTACAAGCATAATCTTTTTCACTTTCCATGCCAATAATCCTCGTTTAACCTTTCCCAATGCTATTTCACCAATTCAATATTCCACCAAAATTTCAACTATTACCACAAACTCTTTCCTAGCATTTGCATCAAACTAATTTACTAAGATTTTAAATGACAGGCAAACTTTTTTTCCTATCACTTTATATGATCAATTCATTTTCCTCAAAACATCTCTCAAATTTCACCAGAAAACAGACATCATTCTAACCATTCCATATCCATAAAATAATCCACGAAAACTGAATCAACCAATAAAATCCTCTTCCAAGAGCCATTCTGAACTTGAAATCACTTCTAATCATTTAGAAACTAATTCTTTCTCCAACACATATAAATTGGCAATCTCATCTATAAACTAATAGTCAGTACTTCAATGTTTTCCCAATTTTAGCCTTTACAAGTTTGGAGTTGAGAATTGGGAATTTAAAGTAGAATTGATGGATAATGAGGTTCAAAGCATGCTAAAGAGAGAGAATTACGTAAAATAGAAGAAATTAAGAGAACTTTTAGACATAGAGTGATCATGTATTTGGTAGCCTATATTAGAAGATTAAAAAAATCTGATATAATATGTTTTAGTTGGGAAGCTTTTTCTTTTTTGGCCATGAAACAAGCGGTTTCTTAGAAAACAAAAGATCCTTACAATACTCAGAAAAGTTTCTTAGAACTATCTTTAGACCAAAACAATGGCTCATGAGACCTAAGGCAATCTAAACTATTTCAATGAGGCGCAAGTAGCCCATCCTTATTGAGGATGAACATGAGAGAGGATGGAGGTAAATTTATCCTCCTCGAAAGGCACATACCCTGTTTAGCTTGGTTTGCAACCCAATCAATGGCCATATTAGCCTTTCATTTTATCTAGCTAACTTTACTGGCTTCCAATTCTGCTCTTAGCAGTTCAATCTCATTAACCACTGGTTTAAGTATCCAGTTAGGTAAACCTTGCTTCCACACCAACTTTTACGTAAACTTCAAAATCTGTTTCCAATACAACTTTCCTGTACCCTTCTTCCTTTGCCAATGTGACTACCTTCCTAAGTGCCCAAGCCTATGATTCTACACATGAATTAACCATTACTCTTTCACACCTGCCAGGCTGCCTCCTATCATTGCTCCACTTGAGTCTCTGGCAATCCCTGCGTATTTTATATCATAACCATAGGTCCCATCACAATTCACCTTGACCTGTCCCTCAGGTTTATACCATCCTGATATATCCTTCACTCTCTTCCTGAAACTCTTATTACTATATTTTCCAGTTAAAGCAATGAATTCGACCACAGCTCCCTTAATCTTAGAAATGTTAACCAACACATCTAGCCTATTTTTACTAACCACAGCATTACACCTCTCCTTCCATATTAGCCAGAAAATGAAAGCTATGGATAAAAATTCTTGCTCCATAGCAGTGGCACCTGGCATAGCCAGAATTTCCTTAATCCATACATCCAATGTAGTAGTCTGATCTCTATTAACGTTATAAACAACATACACCCTGAACATTACCAGCCTAGTCTATTCACGTAGAAACAGAACGTGTTCAATAGTTTAATTAGAATGTTAAGATATGCAGATCTAATTGACATCTCTATTAGAGTTTAAAGTTTAAACTCTACAAGAAAACTCTAATAAGTTACTCGAAAGTAACAAATCAATCACTCTTATAGTCCTATTTAGTAAATATTTTTCATTCATGGCAAGAATATATAAGAAACCTCCCAAGCATACAAACACAAGATGAATGAGGACATCACCAATCCCAATATTAATGAATAAAAAGAAAGCATAAAACATAACTCGATTCAACCAAGCAAAACACATAATCTTGAAGCCTCCTTTCAAGTTTTCTATTGAGAAATCAATTGTGAAACTACCAATAAATCAATTATAGATCTCTCCTATAATTTGGCTATAGTTCAATTACAACATTGCTGGTTACTATTGATTTTGAAGAAGACAATTAATAGGAAAATGGAAGTTTTTAGGAACTTAACATTTTGTATATCATTTTACTCTCATGTACAATTCTAAATTGCTTGCATGTTCTATTTTTCTTATCTAATTATTTAACCTATTTATTTCCTAATTTTAATTTCTTTAAGCTTATGTGAATACAATCACTTAAAAGTTAAAAGTCTTTGGATTGAAAAAATAAAAATGTACTAATTAATGAGAGAAAAAGATAGTCTTAATAGACATACAGTCTTTGGGTTTGTTGTTTTTGTTTCTTCTTATCTTAGATTTGTTTATTATTTTCCTATATTTTCATGTTTGCAAAATGTATTTAAAAAAAGGTTTGCAAAATGATACTTACTGAGGTCTTTCGGCATCTCAACATCCAAATTGCTCATCTAAAACAATAATTTTGAAAAGAATCACATCACCATCCAGTCATACGTAACACAGTGCAAAAAGCAATGAAATTGAAGTACCATACATTATTGTCATTGATTGGTTCATTGAATTGAGAGGTTTTCGCATCATGACCCTGCAAATTAGGAGAAACATCAATTGCAATAGCACATACCATCAATTTTAAAACTCCAAAAGATAGAAGAATTACATGCAATTATTCTTGCCACTATATATTACGGTGAAGGTAAATGTCAGTTTTATCAATGACTGTGAAATATGAATAATAAACACTATGATGTTGGATATTTTAAGCTAGAATGATAAACCATGAGTTATGAGTTGTTCCTCAAAGTTTTTAATCTGTTTAGAGGCAACTTTATGTCGTATTCTAAAAGTCAAGTGCATGTGTGAGCTAGGTTCAGAGTAAAAGTCAGTTGAACAGAGGATTAGTTAATGAAACAGTAGGTTGAAAGTAGGTCAGTAATCCTGTGCTGTTTTACAATAAGCAGACAATTCGTTGGAATATAGGATGTTATATACTTTTCTCATTTAACCAATTTATAGACTTATTTATAGGGTACTACCCTTTGTCTAGTAGTAACAGCACAAATGGATTATTACTTGGCCTTCTCTACCACTCCAATGGCATATTGCTTTAACATGAAAGGCTTGAAGTGATCAATTATAGGATTTCATTTGATATTTTGATTTTTGGTCATTTAGAATCAAGTTAATTAATCAACTTAGCAATTGATTTTGTTCAGTATAGAGGAAGTGATTACAATTGGTTTTTAGTCAAACTCCGTTTACAGGCATACCAGTAATAAGTCAAGTTCTGTTTGCCGGCACACCAGGTGCTTGCTATCTAGTTAGCATTAATTTTGTGTTTTCCATTTTGAGAGAAAAGGTGTATCAGCTTGATACCTATCTTTCAAACTATTGTTATCTAGCAATAAATGTGCTTAGATTATTAAACAACTGGGAGTATTTAAGACGCTTGAGTATATGAAAAGAGGATAAGGTAACAAGGAGAACTGAATAATCCTACCTAAGCTCCATGGTAAATATTTAGGAGATGAAAAAGGCACAACAATTTAGGTTGAATTTCAGGTGATAGAGTGAAAAGTAGAAAGGTGAGCAACAAAAGGTTGCAAGATTTAGTACTTGATAATCAGGATAAGTAATAATAGACAGCTGAGTATGGTGGTAAGAAGTCAGGAAAAGTAATATTTGGGAGTCAGAACTAATAGGAAGAGCAGGGGGGTGTAATCTACATGGTAACACTAATTTATTAATGGTCAAGAATCAAATATTGACACTATTACCATAACAGTGTATTAGACATATTAACTACTTCTAATGCACTAAAAAAAATGATTCATAGGAGTATAATCTTTTCTTGGAACGTAAAGGAGCACTTTTCAAACAACTGAAGAGATGTATAGGATGTTATATATACAAGGGCAACAACGCTAAAAGATAATAACAAAGAAAAGAGAAAAAAAGGCAATTAGGCAAAAATATAATAGGCAGTCAGTATTAAAACCAACAACAACCAACACTAACAAAATAATTAAAACAGGGGCATGGACTAGGATAAAATAGAAATTTGAAGTTCAAAAGAACCACCAAATTGCTGTTAAAGGAGATGATAAATCAACACAAGGTATCAATACTCAATACAAATGATATGTATGAAGCTTATAATAGACAATAATAAACATGTGATTTGATGATAGCTATCCCCTTCATCAAGAATAATATACGGGATTTGTGCAAGCAGTTACGGTTTATGGTTTCCCTTACTGGCTAAATTCATAAGAAAAAGCTGTAGTAGACATAAGTATCATACATAACATACTCATCACGTGCAAAAGCCAACTTTTGCTACCTTTGTGTTTGTGAATATACCTGACAATCCTCATTGAGAATATGTTGTTGTAGTTGTTGCGCCGCAGTTTCCTGCACGTTGTTCATCATTTTCGCCGTATTCACTTTTTTGGATGCATTACTGAGTTCCCCCTCTAATTTATCTGCTCGAGCCTTGTACTTTAATTTGCACAACACAAAGGAAAATTTAGAGGGGAGAAAAACAGAAGAAACAGAGAAGGAGAGGATTGGTCTCTTGCCTCTGAAAGCTGCCCTCTTGCTTCTGAAAGCTGCCCCGTCAAAGAGTTTATCTCAGACAGATGAGCCGTCTCCTTCTTTTTCGATTCTTCATTCTCTTGTTCCAATTTTTGGTACTTCTCCTTCATTTACAGATACAAAGGATAGATTCTATAAGATGGAAAATAAACGAATAGGATAAAATACAAATAAAAGACCAAAAAGATATATGAGAGACAAAATGAAATGTCTTTACATTTTTGTTTTTCCTATATATTCTGTCCCTTGCTATTTTATTTTTATTTCTTTCATCTTCGGTTAGCTTTGGTTTGCGCCCCCTCTTTTTTAGTTTGTTTGAAGTAGCCCCAACCTGTTGTTTACTTTCATCTGGGCTTTGCTTTTGTCTTTTTTGCATTGGATGGTCATCTCTGACCATTGTTGGTTTGTTTGAAGCCTCAGCCTCTGGCTGTTTCTCGCTTTCATCGGGGCTTTGCTTACGCTTTGGTTGGCAATCTCTGATCTTTTCTATTTTGTGATTTGAAGTCTCTGCCTTTGCCTGCTTTTTAGGGCCAAAATCCTCCATATTTCGAAGACAAGGCAAATCAAATCCCCTTCAAAAAAAAAAAAAAAAAAAACAGAGAAGGAAAACTTTCTAAATCAGAAAAAGGTTCATTACCAGATCTGATCAGTAAAAGTAATCAGTTGATAGTGATCACATTAAATCAGCATAACCAAAAATGAAAATTTCTAATAATTGGAAAATCAACTCTACCAAAAATAGTTCTATATCCTAAAAACAAATTTTGGATTAAAAAGAGATCTCAAGAAAAATTCAAACTAATCATTTAGCTGAAAAAGAAAAAATTCAAACCACCGAGTATCGACCGTTGCTCCTACTGCTACCATTACATCAAAGAGGAAGAAGCAAGAAAATTGAAGCAAACGATGACATACAAATGATGGTAGAAAAAAAGAATAAAAAAAACACACCAAGAAATCAAATTTGCCAAAGAAAATAAGCTTCCATTAATCCTTGAAAGAAGAAGGAGAGAAAAGGAAATAAATGCTCACTGGTTCAGTCGCTGGAGAAAAGAGTGATGAAAAGCCGCTTAGAGTTAGAGCTCTTTCCTTCCAAAATTATAATTAAAAACTCGAGTTCGTAACTCGAGTTCATAATAAAAAATGGATTGAACAAATGAATTTAGGACTCGAGAATTTAATTCTATCTCTTATTACACAGACTAACTATCTTTTAATAACTTTTTTAAATTGACGGTAATCCAAACGGAGCCGCCAGTACGGTGAGATTATAGCCCCTAAGTTATTGTTTGGATTTCAGAGTGGGATTAAATTTATCACATTTCCAATTAAATTTAAAATTTAATTTTAATAAAATCAAATCAATATATATTTTTTACTAAAATTTTTTTAATCATAATTATAATAATTTATTTTTTCAAATATAATTATAATAATAATTATTATTATTTTTTATCTTATTAGAATTAATTTAATCGTTTCTTCAAATTTAATCTAATTGGACTGATCATCCATTTCGATTATAAGTTATGTTGCTTTTTCAACGAGCTGGAGTTATTTTTTGGACTGGAGTACGAAGCTCTAGTGAAAAAATTCACTGCCCATTATATTTTTTTCCAACTAAACTTTTGCTTTTTTTTAATCCTTAAATTTTCTCTTTTTCTTTGTTTTATTTATTTATTTTTATTTAAATTTTTTAAAATAACTTTCTAAATTTGATATAATAAATAAAATATGATAATTATATGATAAAAATAGTTAATAAATAATTAAAAATTAAATAAATACTAAATTTTATAATCAAAATATTTAATAAATTAAAAATAAATATTTTGTAATTAATATGACTTAACAAAAATATATAATTATATAAATAATAAAAAATAAACTTAAAGTATAATATTTTTAATAATCATTTTCAATTTTTACTACAATTTATCGAACTGTTATTATTATTTTTGTATCTAAACACATATTTCACTATTAATTTTAATCTCATCACTACAGTACTCAATCTCACTGTTATAATAACTAATTTTACAAACATCACAATTTTTAATCTCATCTAAATCAATCTCACCACTTATCCAAATGCACTCTAATTATTTTTTAATAAATTTTTGTTAATCTTAATTATGTCTTGACTAAAAAAGGAAAATTATTACTCTATTATCTAACTAAATTTTTATCTGTGCAAATGCATGAATTTTTTATATTTATAATAATATTTAATTTAATTCAAAAAAAATATAAATAGAATTTTTTAGATTGAAAAGTTGTTCTTATCACTAAATATTTGCATATTCTCTCCTTTTTATTTTTTATTAAATTTATTTATTTAATGTTAAAATCTTTGATTTGATTTTTAATTTCATAAATTGAAAGTATAAAAATTTCAAAATAAAAAAAATTTTATCAAAAAAAGTTTTAAATAAGCTTTTGACCTCTATCTTAATTTAGAAAAGAATATTAGTAAGTATTTAAAACATTGAAGTTTTTAATTAAATTCATTTCATAAATTTCATTATTTAATTGGTAAAAAAAATTGCTATATAAAAAATAAGTTTACATAAAATCCAAATGTAGTAAGTTTTTATAGATATCGAGAAATTATAAGAAAAATTGATAATTAAGATAAAAATGTAACTGAAATTTAAATAAAGCCAATAAAAAAATACAAGTTTTTAAAATTAAAGACAAAATTATGATTTAGAAAGTCGAACTAGACCATAATATAATAAAATTTAGAGTATGAGCAATAAAACTTATACATATATTAACCAAAAATTAAATGAAAATCGAGAAATGAAAACCTTTACAAAAATAAATCACATACCTCTGAAAAAAAAATTTTTTTTTCTAAAAAGATCTATTGTTTATTCTTATTGATCGCATAAATCATTGTAAAAAGAAAAAAAATATATGAATTGAGAAATTTAAGAGAGAAAATAGAGTTTTGAAAAAGAAATATGAATGAAAAAAATACTTTTAGATGAAGAATTTGAAGAAATTTAGAATGGAATAAGTAACGAAAAAGAGTTTTGGATGGAATAGACTAATAAAAATTTATTATATTTTCAATTCTACATAAAGTATTTTAAAATATAAAAAATTGAACTTGTTTTTATCTAATTATTTAAATGGATGTTTTCATCTACTTAGTTAACTGAAGATTTAAAAAATGTATTAAGATGGAGATTTTTAATTTCTTAAACTAAAATTTTTAAATATTAATTCATGGATACATTTATCAATTTAAACAAATATGAATATTTTAAATGAATTTAAATAATATTAAATAAAGTAAATAATCATATATCCTTTAATCTTTTTTTCAAATTAATATCTGAATATTTATTATTATTTAAGGATTTAGTTTAAAAGTTTTTGATATTTGATTATTTTGATAATATTTAATATAATTATTTATTATTATTTTATGTGTCATCCAAAGAAATTCTCCACCTAAGTGTTCAGTAAACAAATTTTATCAAATTTTAATGTATGTTATAATATAATATTATATATCATTATTATGTGTAGAAATTATTTGAGCCATTCGATTAGAACAGTGTTTTTTTTTTGCCCAAATATTTTTTCATCCAAAACTTAGTGCATTGGTTTTTGATAATTTAGGGTCTATTTATTGATTTCCATACATTAAAAATGATAATAACTATATGAATGAATATTATAAAAGTTAGGGGTATTCATTCGGTCAATTTAGTTAATTTTGAATTAATTTTTTTTAAAATTGAATTAATTAAATTATGTTATTTTACTTTTATCAATCGAAATGAATTTTTTAATTTAAAAAATTAACTGATCAAAATTAATTTGATTGGTTCGATTATTTTTTTAGTTATCTAATAATAGAATATATTAAGTTAAATTATATTTTTAATTTTTCATATGTGAAACAAATTAAATAAAATCATCCAACAAAAAATTCAAATATTAAAGTATCAAATTAAAAATTCTAATAACTGGAAATGAAATGAGTAATTTCATATATTTTTAATTTTAATATATATGTTTTATTATATTTTTGTTAAAATTTCAATTAATTTGGTTCAAAAATCAAATTAACAAAAATTTTATATTTTTTAAAAATTATTTTTTATAACTGATCGAAATTAATTTAATGACCGATCAATTAATCGAATTAAATTGATTTTGTTGATTAATTCGATTAAAACCGAATTATAAAAACTCTTAATAACAATAAAATTAAAATGAATAGTGAAATATATGTTTAAATATAAATATAATGATAATAATAAAATTGAATATGAAAATAACCTTAATAACAATAAAATTAAAATACACAGCAAAATATATGTTTAAATATAAATATAATGATAATAATGAAATTGGCAGTAAACTATCTTCCCAAAAGTAGTCTATTATCCTTATTAAAAAATATATTATATTTTTAATTTTATACTAAGTCATTCAATTGACTCGAGGTCCAATTGTTTACTAAACTCTTTCCTCACTAATTGAAAATTGAAGGCTCATAATTTCAGCCTCCAACTGCATTCAGTGATACTCAAATATACCCTTTATATATTTGAATGTAGATAAATAAATATGATAATATGATATAAAAATAATATAAAAAATATAAATATTATAAGATAAAATTTTAGTAAACATCATATATGATTTAATAAAAAATATAAATTTTATATTTTTTATGTCGATTCGAATTATTATATATAAGTTTTATATAAAATATAATATAAATATTTTAATAGTTTATATGATAAAAATATAAAAATTAAATAATCTAATTAAGGACAAAAATCCCTCTTAAATGAAATGAAATCCAAACCAACCCTTAATCAAACTAAAACTGTTAATTATATAGATTAACCTACCTTTTATACCAGTTGGTCGGTAAAATTCACTACTAATTTCATTTTCCTACTTTTATTTTTCATCTTTATACATTAATACGATTACATGAAAATTACACTTTTAACTTTAAGATTGAAAATGCTTAGAAGATAAAAATAAATAAGACTAAAAGGTAAAAAATTTTAAAATTAAAATTTATAAGAAACTAACAAAAATTAAAAATTTTAATTTTTTTCCTTTTTTATCCATTGAAATGAATAGATTGTTATTAGTCTTATTAGGAAGATATCTTCTTACAAAACTTATAAACATAATTATTTAAATTAAAACCCTAAAAATCACTCTAAAAATTTTAAAAATCAAAACAAAAAAAATAAACATGAATTTTATAAAGAACCAAAAAATAAATTAAAATATTTAATCTTTGTCACTTTTTCATCTATAGAAAGGTAAAACACTAAAAATCACTTTGAGAAATCTTTAAAACAAAAAATAAAACATGAATTTTGTAAAAAAATAAAATAAATAAAAATAAATTAAAGATTTTTAAACTTTCTCACCTATAGGGTTTTCATAAAAGATCCACTTTTACAATTTCTTTAAAACCTTTCGCTTAGAAATGACTGGACTATTGATAGTTAATTTTCGTAAAAAAGATAAAAATAATAAAAAAACTTCAAATTGAAGATTGAAAATTTTTAAAAATATTAAAATAAATCATACTAATAATTTAAGATATTGATTTTATAAAAACAAAAAAACTTATACTTTTAATTTTTAGATTAAAAATTCTTAAAAGAATAAGTATTTAGTTTGTGAATGAATTTGTTGTAGGAAAAACACAATTTAAATAAAATACCTAGCACAAACTTAAGAAAAATTAAAATAAAATCAACAAAAGAAACCATGAATTCAAAAATCATAATATTTTTAAACAAATTAAATCATAACTATAATGATAAAAATTCGGGAACCAACAACATTGTTAGAATGTAATAAACATGATAACTATTAGCAATCAAAGAAATAACTATAACAACTTGAAATTAATTTCGTAATTTTTTTTCTAACCTCGTAACCTCTTAGCAATCAAAGAGTAAATATAATAATTTGAGGCTTGATTCCCAAAGCTAATTGCTTTTCTTCAAATTTGAAAAAAAAAACTTTTCTATGAACTAATGCTTGTAAACCTTTTGCTAAAGAAAAAAATGATTAAAATGATATTTAATTCAAATAATAATAAGAAAGTTAACAATATTTAAACAAACCATCCTTCTTATAATATGCCAATATACAAAATACTAAAACAGAAAATAATATCTTAAATCTATGTAACACCAAACAATTTATGGACTTGTCACCAACAATTTAATAATGAGACAAATCCATGTGAAAATCAACACCAATAATATC